TATTTATTTTTTTTGTATAATTAATTTAATTTTTTACAATAATGTATTGTTTTTTTATACATTTAGTAATGTTATTTATACAGTATCAATAATGATTTAATTATAATAAAAATAACTTTTATTTGATATTTTATTTTTTTAATTCAAAAAATATCCTGTATAGATATATTTGATATATTGTAATAAAAACTATTAGTAGTGTATTAATTTAATATGTATTGCAATTTTTAAATAAAATATAATGTAATAAATAATTTATTATTAATAATGACTCTTATATTTAATAAGAAAATTATTGGTTATTTTTTACAAACTAATATTTATATATTGTATTTTTATAATAATCTAGACATAGGTAAAAAGTATATAAACTCAATGTAAAATAATTAAATTTTACAAATATAAATGATACAGTACACTATTAAAAATGTTATATAAAGTATTTTCAAAATATTTATATTTATTGATTTCACTAATGATTGTCATTATTGTTATGAACTCTGGTTAGTATATCTATTAAAAATATGTTAATTATTATTATAACTATATTTATAATATTATTTATGAKTATGATTTAGACATTGTTGATTGTAATCATGGTTGTCCTAATAAAGCTAAATGTACCCGTTATTGTATTTCCAGGGGGTATCATAAAGGCAAATGTCATGGTTATATACCAACCATTAATCGCTTATGTAAATGTAAAAATTAATAATAAAATCACTTAATTTTATAACAGTTTTTTATTACACTTATAAACTAAATGTTTATTATATATTGTTACATATATTTTGATATATATTATTATTTATTTTTAGCACATATTAATACAATAAATTAAAGAAATTTATTAAACAAAATSAAGTTTAATTTGTAATTTTTTTTGTAATTTTAAAATATATTATAAGTTTATATAATAAAATATAAATATATTATATAAAATATATAATTTGTTAATTATTTAATATTATTACTCTAATTAATTCTAATAAAATATATATTTAGGTTTGCATTTAAAATTATTTATTATTGAATTTTGTTAAAAATCTATTTCTAATCAAAATCAATAATAAATTTAGTATATAATTAAATTTTAGATATATTGTTATATTTATTAAACTATTTATTATTATTTTAATTATTTATATAATAGTTATTTAGCATTTTTTACAATATTATAAGCATTAGTATACTATCTATAGATTTAATTTCAAACATTTTGTATAATATTATATATAATATAATGAAAATAAATAAAACATTATTTTTAAGCGATTTGTTGATAGCAACCGGGTATTTATATTATTGATTTATTAGCTAAATAATACATACATGTAATCTTTTTAAAAAATATATGTCAAATAGACACTACTATTACTTATTACAATAGTTTTTATGTTTTCAAATGGCTGCAAYAAAAATATCAATATAAGTAGTTTATTAAATAACGTATCCAATGTTAATTAATGTTAAATATAATATTATAATAAATTAGTTAAAATACTAATTTTAATTAGATAATTGTTTTATTTTTTAAAAAGTTTTAATTGAATAATGTATAAAAATTTGTTAATTGTGACAATCATTGTGTTTATAATTATGGTTATGTCACCAGATATGGTGATGTCTTGTGGTGCACCTCAGGCTCCGTGCATACCGTTCCCATTTGCTAAATCAACATGTTGTAGTGGCTCATGTTATTGGTTCAGGTGTTTAACATTTAATAATTTTGTTAGTTAGTTATAATATTAATTATTTATTATTTTGTAAAATACTGTATTATATATATATGTATGTGTATGATATAAGTTAGTTAGCAATAATAATAATAATAATAATTTTTATTTTATTATTATTATAACATAATGCACCTAACAGTTAGTAAGCTATTTATAATAATTTTTAATGATAAATGAATAAATTACATAATACAACATTACAACAAATAAAAGTCATTTTTACTTTATTATAATAATTACAATAAGTATTTAATTTAATTATTTATATTAATTTTTTCAATTGATTTCCAGATGCCGTGATTACAATTATGATGACCCGGATTATCAAAAATATAGCGACGAGTTTTGAAATCACACGACAACCACAACAACAACAATAATATAACATATTATTATTATCTTAACACACAATTTACACACAAATACCATATATATATATATATATATAAACTAATTGATATGATATTTGTATGATTATGTATTAGTTTGTGTATTTTTAATAAATTAATACATATACAATACATATATATATATGCACAATTTTTTTAAAGATAATCAAATTAAAATTAGTAATACTAATAATTATTGGCTCAATGTTTGCCTTACTAATAATATATTGTAAAAAATAATTGCAATTTATATTTTTAAAAATTTTATTATCCCTAGCATTACTAATAATTTATTAGTAGTAATGTAAAAAACATTGTTTTAAAAATATGAAGTTTATTTAATTTATTTTAGTAAAATAATTATAATGTAGTATACATTTCATGAATATTTTACTGAAAAAAAATTAAAAAAAAACAAAATTGTTTTTAAATATTTTATTTAACCTAACTTAACCCAGTCGATTAAAAACCAAAAAATTAAATTGTTATCCTAACTTTATCTTAAACATTAAAAAAAATCATAATCAAAAAATGTGATTGATAATTTTTTTTAAAAAAACATTACAGTATAAACTGTTAAAAGTTTTTTTTTAAAACAATTTACAAAAATTTACTGGCTAATTAAATCACTACTAGATTAAACTAGAATTAACCTAAATATTATTGTTATTTATTTATTTATATATATGCATAGAAATTATATTATCACTTAAAATTATATACATAATAAAAAAATAATTAATTGCACCAGGCTAGATCCAGTTTAAACAAACCTGATTATATAATACTCAGTACTGTATTAATTATATTTATTTTTTATAGTACAGTACAATATTAACTTATAATTATTTATTGCATATTAGACTGACTAATATTTGTGTTAAAATGATAGCAATTATTGTCACTTATTATTATTATTATTATTACATATTATATAACACATGTTGAAAAATTATTCAACTTTAAATAAATGTTTATGATATAAATCAATAAGTTTATTTTTATTTTTTTTTTAAATTTTAAATATTTAATTTATGATAAACTAATTTTTGCTGCACTAATAATCTTTTAATTTTACAAAAATGTGATTATCTTTTTTTTAAAAAAAGCATTTAAAATAAATGTTATTTAACATACCATTGAATTTTTTTTTTGATATCAAATTTTTACTGTTCATTGAATTTTGACTCACAATGATTATATAATATCTAATAATAAAAACTGTATAACTTTTAATTTATTATTAATTTTTTAAGATACACGTGTGTACATGTATAATTTTTTATGTTTTAAAAAAATATAAGCGTAAATTTATAATATTTATAAATGATAATTATTAAAAAAATCATATGATACATTTTATATCTATGATAAAATTGTAGTGAAATAAATAAGATAATACAAAAAAATGTGTGAAAATTTTATTTTTACATTTTTTCTGTATTTATTTTAAACGTTGTAGTTGTTTTTGCTCAATTTGATATATTTATATTGATAATAAACTGTATATCAATTCAATATATAATAGTATGTATAGTAAATAACGATTGTATTGAATAGTAAAAGTTATAATTTTGTTTTTAAATGATATTTTTGTTCACCAAAGATGGGACCACAAAAAATTTCCTAAATTAAAGTCCTAGAAAACAGAATATATAAAAAATAGGAAAAATTTTTTAGTTAATTGATAACTTGGACCTAAAGTTAATAAAGTATTTTTAATCTAATTATCTATTATATGATATATATAAAAAAAAATATATAATATGATTCACATTTATGTATAATAATCAAATTATTAAATCATATTTTTAAACTGTATATTATTGTATACTTTACTTCATTAAACATGTTTCCTAATAAATATATCTCTATAAATATAATTTTATTTGTTTTATTTAATTTTCTAATAAAGTATAATTTAACTCTCTTATTTTTGATGATAAATTATCAAAATAAATATATTATCTATTTGTCGTTTGATAAATTGTCAAATTGATAGTTGAAATCAAAATGATACAATACACTGCATAAAGTACAGTAAAAATAATATCTATATATAAAATAATAGATAATAATACAGTAAAGTAAAAGTATCAATACTACCCGTATATGTTTAATCATTATAATAGATTTGACAAAAATATTATTTTTCAATATAATAAATTTTTTGATCAAAAAAATTTTCCACTTTCACTGATAATAATAATAWATATATATATTTTTATTATTTTACTAATTGTGAAAGTTATAACAAAAAAATGTTCATGATAATAATTTTAATTAAAATTAATACAGTACATACACTGTACAATACGGTAGTTTATTTTAAAAATAAAAAATATAATGTAAACTATAGATATTGCACTGTACTGTATACTAGAGTACAATTACTATAAAATATATTTTATTTTATTACAGGATATTTATTTTTTAAAAATAATATTTAATACTATCTAAAAAATCATACTAATTTAAACTGTATAATAGTTTATATTATTTGATTATTAAAATATTTATATCATTTTATTTTGCCAATTACTCACAAATAGACATATAAACCTATTTTGTAATTATTTTATAAAAAATCTATTTTGTATTATTTGTTTTAGTTTATTTCATTGTAAAATAAATTCAAATATGATTACCAAAAAAATAATGAATTTTTATTTTAATGATATAATTAATTTTTATATTAAATATATAATTATAAATATTATGTAATGTATTATAAATATTATACTATTTAAAAAAAATAATCATTTGATCTATAAAACTAAAAACTATTATACTGAGATACTATACATTATAAAAAATAACAATAATTTTATAAATATTAACATAAGATGATWCTATATATAAAAATAAATGTTTAAATATAATTATTAAACGTTGAATAACTGTCCACATAATAATCAGGAACAGGTAGACAATTATTAGTATTGTTATTATTATTTAATTTATCATAAAATAATTGGTCAGTWGTAGTGGTAGTAGTCTTCAAGCAATTGGTATTTGATTTAACAAACAGTGTTCTGATATTAACATTACAACCAAACTCTATATCCCTGTCCAGTCCATCGGTAATTATAAGACATTGGTCTACATTTAAGTCTCTGTGCTTTTGTTGAATACATTTCCAATAGAAATAGTGAGGTTTGGCCAGTGATACGAAACCTTTGTTGGCCACAACCCTTATGTCAGGTTTGTGGCAACAATTGTCTGCTATTAAACTGTCCGACATATCACTGTTGGTCACTATTGTTAAACAATCGGATTTTGACGCATAGGCACAGGCTTTGACCAGTGTTGGCAATGGTATGTACTGATCATTGGCAATGATAACGGCGCCGACATCCGGATTCAGTTTGAATGATGCAAAGCCCAGTTGTTTCCGGTTTGGTGTACAATGAGTGGGTAAGTCTAAACAGACAACAAAAATCTAGTTAGATATGTATATAAATTAAATTTATTTTGTTGTAAAATACCTGTGCATTGAATGCCCATTTCAGTCAACTCGTGAACTGTTGCATCCGACCCAACGGCTACCACTTGTCGGTCAAAACCAATGGCTTTCAGATAGACGGCGCAGACATACGATGTCGGAAACAGTTGATCCAATTGAGTCTCAATGGCCGCCGATTTGAGTCTGTCGTGCATCTGATCGCGTGTCAGTTGACTTGTATTTGTCGTATAAATCACTTGTTTACCCAGTTTTTGTAATTTTTGCAGTACTTGTCTGATTTCGGTAACAATTTCCTGTCTAACGCCGTCATCGATATCTTCAGCGGACAATAAGTTAAGCAAACCGTCGCAGTCATAGAGTATTGTCTCAAATGTAGACATCAGACGCTTGAAATCGTTTTTAGTTTCCAACTCAAGACACGACTCAACCACTTGTTGTCCAAACATCTCGTAATCGTAGATATTATTAGCAGTTTTATCGCTAATAAAACTTTTCGTATCCATGATATCAATCATTTTAGGTGTAATTACTTGCGAAATCATTTGTATATTAATTATGAAAAACAACTATTTTTGTATTTTAAAAAAAAAATCTAACTCTCAAAAGTACTTCACAAAACAAAAAGAAAAGTATTTTAGTTATCAAATAATTTTTTTTATTTCTAGAAATCAAAATCCAATGTATACTTTGTGAGCGCAAAATGTGTACTAAAAGTGATGTTCAAAAATGTGTGACAACTCTTTATATATATAGCAAAATTGATTGATAAAAATATATGTACTCTCTCTCTCTCTCTCTCTCTCTCTCTCTCTCTCTCTCTCTCTCTCTCTCTCTCTCTCTCTCTCTCTCTCTCTCTCTCTCTCTCTCTCTCTCTCTCTCTCTCTCTCTCTCTCTCTTACTCAAATTGCCGTATATATATATATACATTATTAGATGAATGTATCAAAAAATTTGTTGACAACTGATAGTCAATAGACGTGATAATTGTGGCGTTTGTTTGTTTGTTTGTCATACCATAAGAGATATCATAGACATAGCAAACATCATATTACAGTGTATACGATATATAATACTATACGAAAAAGATATATAAATGTATATATATATATATATATACTTAAAATCTATATTAATATTTATTATTGATCTTTGAGTTGATTATTATTTTTATTATTTGTATGTTTGAGAGAAAAGTCATACCAAAAAAAAAACAAGTGATAAGACATCGACACCATTTCTGGAGATTTCCATAAAACATGGAGAGAGAGACCACTGAATCGTTTATTTAATATAATATTTTTATGATTATATAAACATCCGAAACATTATATTATTAATAAATACATTATATTTATTAACTATTTTAGATTCATTTGAAAAAACAGTTATTAATTGATAAATTCTTATTATTAGATATCAGTAACTAGTTTTATATGTAATATCTAACAAATATTACATATTTATTTAATAAATCAAAATTATAATTATGATATAATAAAATGTTACTATAATATAATAATAATAAAATGGGTCCCTAATTTGATATTTATAAATTTAATTAATTAAGATTTTTTTGTTTAATTTGCATGTATGTAACTAAAAATAATACAGTACTTAAATGTAAAAAATATTTTTACAGTATATTTAATATAACTTATAGATAATAATAGACTTACAATAATTGCATTTTAATTATTAAAAGATAACTATAATATCTAAATAAAATTAAATAATTACTATTATCACACTTATTATACATATACCGTAWATAATTTTTATTTATTTAATTAAATAATTTTCTAAGTAATAATGAAAGTAAAATTAAAGTTAAAAATATGAAAACTCATTGTTTTTTATTAAATTAAATAATAAAATAATAAATTGTTAAGCAATTCAATTAAAAATTTCTAGTTATTATTATTATTATATTTTGTTATTATTACAGTTAAAATATTTTGATGAAATTTTTCAATTTAAAATTACTAAATACATAGATAAACAATTTTTTWTAAATTCAATTTAATGATGACTTTGAAAATATTATTACTGTTTTTTATTAGTATTTTAYATTTAGTATATATATTGCGAGCAATTCATTGAATTTATTAATTAATTAAAATAATACAATTTTTTTTTTTTAAAAAAGTTATTTTAAAATGATGAACTCGTTGCTGAAAATCGTTTTTCTTTTAGTTGTTATATTCATGGCTATGGGTTAGTATTATTATTATTATTATAAAAAAATTTAATTAATAATAATTAATGTAATATCTAACTATATGTGATAAATATTTTTGTTACCTATCCTCTATAGGACACATTATGTGTTATGGTTGTAAACCCAGTTGCGAGACTCATAAGTGTCCAGAGGGTCTAAAACCCCGGTGCAAACTTGTTCAGGAAGCTCCCAATTATTGTGAATGTATTAAAGATACAGGGTGTAAATAATAATTATTGAAACAATCAAGTACAATCAATCTCAATGAAGATTAATATCTATTTTGAAAATTTTATAATTATTATTATTGATATTATTATAATAATCTAGTAATTTTAATAATATTTTTTTTATTCTATAAATAAATTTATATTTAAAAAAAATATTTTTATAAACTATTTGCAATAAAATTTGATTTGTGATCATTTTGTGAGTTGTATTAATCTTAACAATTATACACTTAGTTTTTTTTTCACAAAACTTTTGATAAAAAAATACTCAAATGATAAATGTTTTATTTTTCATTCATAAATAATTATATTTTTAAAAAACAATTTTATTTAAATATACTTTATATATATAATATATAAATTGTTAAGTTAAAATTTAGAATCATTTATTAAATAAATATTTTATCAAAAAATATATATGATTAAATTAATATATTAATTAAGATATTAATTAATTTTAATACATTTAATATAAACTATTATCATATTATTTAAGTGTGACATCTATTGTATTGAAGTCAACATTCATTTAAAGCAATCAATCATTTAAATGTCTAAAACAATTACAAATAAATTTATTGCAAACACATGTTTGTCATTGTTTTAATTAAATTAAAACTTTTTTTTTTTTTAAATATTTATTTATTTCAGTCAAAACACATGATGTTTTGCATCTCAAGAGTAAATAGCAAGTGATTGTAGACAACAGTGTGAAGACAATGACCACAACAAGAGATTCATTTGATCGTTTCGGCGATGATTTGRCACAACTATTGCTAAGTTATCTGAAAATTGGCGATAAATTATTTTATCAATTRGTGGCCAAACAGTGGCAAAGACTTGTGTTCAATACACAAACTAATCTAATAATTGATAACAATTATAGACTAAAACATTTGGAGACAATTGTCAAGAAATGTCCAAACATTAGGAAAGTTATCATCAATTGTTTAGGCAATATTGACAATCAATTGTTTTATCAATATATGGATCTACTTATCAAATATTGTTCACAATTGAGATATCTTCAGATCAATCATTTTTGTTTAAAAATTAAAAATAATAATCAATTATTAGTGTCTAAATTATCTCAAATTTGCGGACAATTAAACACATTTAAGACTAATTCCAGTGAATTGTTGTCACTGTTTATCAAATGTTTGGATCAATTGGACGAACAAAATAAGACAAAAAGACTGCAAACTCTTGAATTCAATGGCTATGGCTTTAATAAACTATTCAATGATAACAATGAATATGTTTTACCGAAATCTATCAAATCATTGGCCATAAAATTGATGATTTCTAATGATATATCTGTGACATTGTTTAAGACATTTTTAGATAATTATAAACATAATATCCGATCACTTGATTTGCTTATTATTTGCGACACAAATCAAACTAATTGTCAATTATTAGCAACAAGTTTGCCACAGATGACTGAATTGACACATTTGACTATCAATTCATTTTTATGGACAGTTGATCCCTTAGGCGGTGAAGATATTCTCAATCAATATTATAATAATTTGTTTACCACTGTTGGCCATAATTGTCTTAAATTGAAATCGTTTGACATCTTTGCGCACACAGGTGTTAGACATAAATCATCTTATGATTCACTGATGGACACAATCAACAGTTGTTTGAAACAATTGAAGAGATTGTCAATAAAATTATTTGTCGATAAAAATATCTGTGATATGAAACTAAAGAGTAGTTCATTACAACAGTTAAAACAATTGACACATTTATCGATTCAGACAACAAATAGCTATATTTTTGACGACTTTTTTGCAGACATTGACCGACATTTACCGCGACTCCAATATCTGGAGACTTACGATGTGGACATCACTAGCGATTCGCTTAATTATATCTACAAATTGTCACATTTGAAGATAAAATCGATTACATTTAAAGTCGATGGCTATCATATCAATGATATTGATATACTATCGTTAGGCCAACAAATTGATGGTAAACTTAAATTAATTAATGTATCAAAGTTTCCGATATTACCGGTAAATATTTATTTAATATATATTAATTTTTACGCTAAAACTTAATACTAAAGTTATAAAACTATTGGTACTATTAGTTGTTTATTAAATTGCATAAATTAATATTAAATTTTTTTTTTAAAAATGTTGTAATTATATATAATAGGGTAAACATGTCATTCAATTTTTTTTAAAATTTATGATTTATAAAGTTTTGCTATAATTATGATTATACTGTATATAATATTATAATTACCGATAACCCAGTACATTTTTTAAAAAAAATATATGATATACAGTACAAAATGTAAAACCCATAGAAATTTATCTGAATTTTTTCTTCATAATAATTGATTGGTTATTGAATTAACAGTTTATTTATATTAAATTAAATTTAATGTTTTTTTTGGACGTCTGTCAAGTGTGACATCTATTTTGTATTGAAGTCAACATTAATTTTTAAAAAACTATCTCAGTTTGTGTTAAACCAAAACAATAGCAGACGCACCACAAATACCTTAGTGTGTATAATAACCAGGGTTTTAGTAAATAAATGTCTGCCTTGGTAATGCCCAAATAGATGCCATAAATGTCTGGCAATTTAAATTGCTTAAAAGTTACTTTATTTATACAAATTACGTAATTTAGTTTTTTACCGTGTAAATTAAATATACAATTAATTCTAATTAGATTACTGTATAATTATAGGTACTAAACAAAGAGAGAAAAGAATGTTTTTTTTTAATTAATTAATAATATAAAATTAAAATAATAGGTGTCTGACCACCTGAAAATAGATGCCCAGGGCATTTGGCAAAATTGGCATCTATTGTTTATGCCTGTCATTTTAAAAACCCTGATAGCAATATTGCTACTGTACTGTTGTATTGAAATTATTGTTTTGGTTTAGCACAAACTGAAACAGTTTTTTTTTGTTAAATTTCTAAACAATTATTGCTTTAAATAATATTTGTTTACTTCAAACACATGTGTTTTGCGGCTGATAGAGTGATTTAAGGAATCAAAAATCCCGAATAGTGATGGTAGCTCAGACCCCCCTGAGTCTCCCCATACTACCCACATAGCTGTCCGACCTCCGCAATTCGAGATATTCGACTTTAAAGTCGAAAATTATTTTTGACGTTATTTATGAATATGATACACACTTTCTATGTATTTTTCAATACTAATTATGATTATAAAAACTAAATCACATTATGTCAAATAATTTTCGAGATTCGTCTTTTAAGTCAAAAAAAATATTTATGAATATGAGATTTATTATTTATGCAATTTCTAATACTAATTATAAATATTAAAATTCATTTTTAAAATTCATTAAAATTCATTGTCACATAGTTTTCGAGATATTCTACTTAATCAATTTCTTTTGAGGTTATTTATTATTAATATATATATATCAAACAGTTTTTCCGATCACTAATTATATTATTTTCTATTAACTGATTTATATAATAGTCAGGATCATTGTTATATAGTTTTTGAGATATTCGACTTTAAAGTCAAAATATATATTTGTGACAAAATAATTTAAGCATCTTAAATAATAATTAGAATTATTTTAATTTTAAATATTAAATTTAAAAAATACATTTGTATAAATTTATTATTTATTAAAAATTAAATATAATTTGATTATGACTAGAGCATTTATTTCACATATAACTTATATTTTTAGTGATTAAAGATATTAACAAAATAATTAGATATATAAACGATTGATTAAAAACCAATAATTATAGCAAAAGTTTTAGTCACATAAACACATATTTTGAAAGGTAGTCACATATTATCAAATACTATCACATATTATGACATATTTCGCATATAACTGTAAAATAATAGTTGAATTGCATTTTTTTATGTATTTTTGTATGTATTATTTGTTCAATTTTTTAAAAATAGTATTATTTTATCAATGAAACTTTATTTGTTAATTTTTCTAAACAAATCAAAAAAATAATGAAATGTTTTATGTTATTTTCTAGTGTTTACTAAAAGACAATAGGAGTGAAAATGTTATTTAGATTAATTTAAATTTATACAAACATTTTAAAAGGTAAATATTTTTAATTTATGCGTTTTTTAAGTTTAAATAATAAAAATATAAAATATTACTTTATCATAAATTGTAACACAAAATTACTTTTATTAATTAATATATAATTTTTAATAATTTTATTAATCTATATAATCACATATTTTGACTTTTCAAAGCAATTATAAGCACATTTTTTACTATTTTAAGCAAATATAACCACATATTTTCATATTTTTAAGCAAATATTTCATTGAATAAAAACAGAATTTTAGCCACATATATCTAAAGTTACTAATTATGACTTAAAAATTAGTTTTAATATAATAAAAATAAGAATTATATTCTAAGTATTTTTAAATGTAATAAATAATATTTTATATAATAAAATAAATGTATTAAAATTAAGTTTATAAATTATTTATAATGTAATTAATAAAATTTTTAATAATTAGATTAAGTTTAAAAAAGTTAGTAGACAAAAACATTGGTCTAACAATTTTTGGTGGATCATATATACCACTTGCTGTGGTTTTTAATCGAAAAGCACTTCGATTGCCATTTAGACATCATGCGGAATTTTTATTTTTTCGACTTTAAAGTCCAATATCTCGAAAAATATTTGACATAATGTGATTTAGTTTTTTATAATCATAATTAGTATTGAAAAATACATCGATAGTATGTCATATTCATAAATAACGTCAAAAATAATTTTCGACTTTAAAGTCGAATATCTCGAATTGCGGAGGTCGGACAGCTATGTGGGTGGTATGGGTAGACTCAGGGGGGTCTGAGCTACCATCACTATTCGGGATTTTTGATTCCTTAAAGAGCTCTACCAACCGTGTTTTGCATCTAAAAAAAAAAGATGTGACAGAAAGTGATTGTAGACAACAGTGTGAAGACAATGACCACAACAACAACAACAACGACAAGAGATTCATTTGATCGCTTCGGCGATGATTTGACACAACTATTGATAAGTTATCTGAGAATTGAAGAGAAATTGTTGTATCAATTTGTTTGCAAACAATGGCAAAGACTTATATTCAATACACAAACTAATCTAATAATTGATAAAAAATATTATTTCAAACAATTAGACAAAATTGTTACAAAATGTCCGTATATTAGGACAGTTGTCTTCACTGATATTTTAACCGATGAATTACTCCACCGATTCATGGATCTACTAATCAAATGTTGTCCACAAATAAGATATCTTCACATCAATCACTTCGACATCAAAAGCAATAATTATTATTTGTTTGATTCGTTATTCGCCAAAATTGTCGGACAATTGATTGGATTTAAGACTAATTCCAGTCAATTGATGAAATCGTTTGTCAAATGTTTGGATCAATTGGACGAAACAAGTAAATCAAAAGTACAAACACTTGCATACAATGGCAATGATTTTTATTTACTATTCAATTACAACAACTATAATGAATGTGTTTTACCGAAAACCGTCAAATCGTTGGCCATAATGGTTACCATTAGATATGATATTGATTTGCCATTGCTTAAGATATTTGTCAACAATTACAAGCAAAATATCCGATCATTTGATTTAATTATGGTTTACGATATTAATGAGACTATTGTTGAATTATTTGCATCAATTTTGCCACAGATGACTGAATTATCACATTTGTCTATAAGTATATACCATAATAATAATATTTGGGACGAAGATCCCGATAGTGATAATATTATTTATCAGTATTTCGATGATCTGTTTGCCAAAGTTAGCCACAATTGTCTGAAATTGAAATCATTGGACATCTTTTCGCGCTTTTATGTTAGACATAAGTCAACAATTGATAAACTAATGGACACAATCAACACTCGTCTGAGACAATTGAAGAGATTGACGATTAAGTTATTAGGTATTGACAAAGATATTAAACCAACGATTAGTTCATTACAACTGATGAAACAATTGACACATTTGTCGATTTATTATATGTATGAAATTGGATCCATAGCTATTGGCGACGAGTTTTTTGTGGACATTGACCGACATTTACCGCGACTACAATATCTGAATGCTTACAAAGTGGACATCACTAGTGATTCACTTAATTATATCTATAAATTGTTGCATTTGAAGATCAAATCTCGTATTTTTTTTATCGATGGCAAGTTTGACCGATACATTAATATTGAATCGTTAGGACAGGAAATTGATGGTAAACTTAGATATCTTGATGTCTCACAATTGGTATTACCGTATTGTAATTGTAATTGAAATAATATTAAATATATTTAGAAACAATATATGTTTATTATAATATACAGTGTTTATAATTACTGGTATACTGTGTAATAATAATTTTGTTTTTAATTTGTTTTATTTTACAAATATTCCCTATTTTTCTAAATTCCTCTAAATTTTCTAAATTCGCTAGAAATTCCCCATAGATTCTAGACTTATTTGTTATTTGCTAGGGTTAGGATCAGATTCCTAGTTTTGGTGGTTTATTTATTGTTATAATATAAAAAATATATATATTACTGGTACATTTTTTTTCATATAAATTTTTTTTGGTACATATAAAATTCAAAAGAGAGGGATACTAAAATATTTTCCTGAAAAATTGGAGGGATTTTTTTTAGGGAACTTCCCTCCCTGATAATGTTGATCGATACTATCATTAGGCAAACAAATTAATTGTAAAGTTACCGATAAGTTAATTAATGTATCAAAGTTGACAAACAATAACTAATTTATTATACTATAGGATATTATAACATATATATATATTAATTGTAATTAAAAATTAAATTAAATATGCACTTATTATTTTAGTATAATTATCGATAATACTAACAATTAATTTACTATTTTTTATAACAACAAAAATATCATCTGATTTGTGATATTTGGGAAAATAATTCCAAGTTTTTTTCAAACATAATATAAAATTATTAAAAGATGTATTTACTCTAATAATACCGTTAATTAATTTATAATTACCGGTAATTAATAATTTATATCTTTATTTTGTTTAATTTTTTTTGTGATTGACTATCTATTGTTGTTGTTGTTGATGAGTGGATCAATTGACTATACATTACTTAAACACACACAACAATTACCACAATGCGTTCAATCTTCTTGACGATCCCTTACCATACATGCCGTCCTGTACGGCAACAAATGTGACCATAGGTTCCCGATCTCGTTGTTCGGTTGCATTAACATTGGCTACGAGTACACTATACTTCCAGATCTGTTCGAGTCTAGTCAGACAGTCATACTTGAGTGTCAATAGCATAGCTAACCGACCCAATACTCGGCTACCATTGCGAAGCCATTCAATGTCAATGAGATTTTCGCCGTTTCTGAATCTCAGCCGCAGATCGCAGAATGTCTTTGAAAAGGCCAGAAGTTGTTCAAACCATTGATGATATTGACTGATCAGCTGTTGTCTCTCGAAAATGTCCAACAATTCTCTGGCCATCGCGCGGTTCACAAAATATAGGCGCTGATGGTTGAGTGCATCAATTTCTGGAAACTGTAAAGTCATTGCTTGACAACCGTTATTTCCGGCAAATTCATTGTCGGCATTGAGATGACCGGTCAAACCGTGACTGTGCAATGGCGCCCAATGCTGTTTGCCTAGTTTTCTATATGCCAACCAGGGTAGTCCATTTTGTGGTCGACTCAAATGATAGCCACTCCTCAGATTATCGGTAAAAGCTTTTGACAATAGAGAATATAGGTTAACGTCTGAGACTCTTATTCTGGTAACTGTGACAGTGAACTGATGGCCATTCCATAGTACGACAGTTTGTTGGCCATCGTTATCAATAGTGATGGATGTCTGTTGACTGGCAAACTCATTGAACATTTGTTGCCAACTCCTAACAAACAGTTGATTTTGCATAATTCTGGTCACAAATTCACGATAATTGGCAATAAATTGGTCGACCTCTTCAGTTGGCATCCAATTCAATGGTGGGATTTCAATGAGCGGAGGTATCGGTTGTCGCACCGGTGGTTGTGGCGGTCGATTTGGACGTAACAATTGCATTGTATTGGTTCGGACAATAGCACTCTTGTAGATCTGTTCCGATTTGACGGCTAATGTCATTTGTTGCAAATAAAAACCGCCGAAAACATAGATTTCATCTCTGAAATTATGGACGCTTTGGTCGTCGACACCCATACCTATCCATTCAAACAAATAGTCGGCAAATGCTATTAATGTATAAGCAGTCCTGACTAACCTCAATATGTGTTGTTGAAAGACAAACTGATTACGCAATTCAATGGCCGTGTCCTGGTCTATGACATAGAGGTATGCGTTTTCAGGGTCACGATAAATGAGTTGGGCCTGTGGACCACCGGTGCCATTGATGCCATACGTAAAGATAGCCTTATGATTATGATCTCTATTGGGAAAGTTAGTTTGAATTAGACGCCGTACGAGTCCTAAACCACAATCTACTGTACGAATCGCCAACCGTTTTCAAAGTCGACATAAAAGATGTTATTGTGTAAAGTTGGCTGAATCTTAAAGATATCACCGGAAATGCATAGCTGTTGCTGATAAAACAATAGTCTCATATTGATATAAGGTTGACCACCATTATCAGTGGACGGAAAGCCCACCACTTGGGTTTGCGTCAATGCATTGTACACTTCCGGCCAACAGGCCTTTATTAGATCTTCATTTGGCAGTTGTTGTCGTGGTTGTTGTTGTTGTTGTTCACCCATTGTCTTGGATTATCTTTAATTAGGAACAGTTGTCTCAGAATTTATGTGCTAATTACTGTTTTACTATTTTTGTGGACATTTTAATTTTTTAATTTCAAGTTTTCAAATTAAATTTTAAAAAATTAATATTTTTTATAAAAATCATATAACAATATCATTTATTATGTCAATAATTTAATTTTGATAATACTAAGTTATGTAATGTATTATTTTTGTTGTTTACGACAGATATATAGACTAAATTGTTATGAATAGATTTTTTTTATATAACAATATTAATAAAATCAATTACCAATTGTAGTGGGGGTGGGTTAGGAGTGTGAGGTTAGGTTAGATTGTACTGTATATCTCACCAAATGGTGGTGATATGGATTGGGCAGAGATGGTATTAATGTCATGTCATACAAATATCATGGTATGTTTGATATTACTATTAGATATGAATAAATGTTTGATTGGGACTGATAATGACATAATTAATTGTTTCTTAACTTTAATTACTATTACTATAATTAATATATTTTTAATACACGCGCTTTCACAACAATTCACTTATTTGATTCACATTGAGATTATTTATGAAATTATTAATCCAACATAAAGTTTCAGAGACATTAACATTAATTATAATTTATTTAAACATTAAAATACATCTAATATTATAACAACCCTTGAGATCAACTGTTGTCGACACACATACACACACACTCTCGAAGAATGGCTATTCCAGCAAAAGACTCGTTCGAGCGTTTCGGTGACGATCTCACAGAAGACCTGTTAGATTATCTTCAGTTTGACGACAAATTCTATTACGAATGCATTTCAAGACAATGGCAACGATTGGTTTACAACAAAGTCAATACTGTCGAAGTTGTCGCACATGAAACTGAGTTCAACAAAGTTGATGACATGTCATTTGATTTGCTAAAATGGCAGACAATCTTCAAAAAGTGTCGATACATCACAACTGTATCGATTGATATTAGTTTCAACTCTACTGTTAATGAAATTACTGAAGAAGATTTCGCTACTGATGAAGAAATCGCAGAAGAGTTTGTATTCATAGATGAAAACGATATAATAAATGAAGACGAGATGGAAAATGAAGACGAGAACAGCGATGATGACCACTATTATGAGATTCAACCCGAAGTATTCAATCGTGTCGACCAAATCTACGAACAGATGACTGATTTGGTTTTCAAAGAGTGTTCACATTTAACTCGTTTTAAATCAATGGCTCTAATAGTTAGAAACGAATCGGTGATTGCATTGATCGGCAAATTTGGTCGACAATTAGAAACATTTCAATTTCCCCGTCTTATTGACCAATGTTTGCAAATAACTCAGAATTTATCATTAATGCCAAACTTGAAAGTCGTGGATAAATCCATTGCCATCGATGGCCTCATCAGCAGTAGTACTGACGACAACCGAACGGATCTCATTCCTAAACGACTCAGAGTTTTTGACTATTATTTAGATGACAATAATGTCGACAAATTTGCAAAGTTTACCGATATTTGCAGCAAACGTAAGATACCGTTATCGAGACTAAAGTTAGAAATCAGAGACCAAGTTATCGATAAAGTTATCAATTGTTTGCCGTGTTTCGCATCGTTGACTGACATCAATATCTATGTTGAGAAACGACACATCAATAGAGAACAGTTTCGGCAATTGCTAAACAACTGTCCAAAGCTCAAGAGATTTGCCTACAAATTTTCAGCTAAATTTTCGGCGACAATGAACTACAAGACAGTTGTCTCGGATATCAATGAAGTGTTTGGCGGCACTCATGTGTGGGCACTATCTCTGGCTTTTGTTGAAATCCCTATAGACTTTGAGATGACCTGCGATATGTTGAACCGATGTCGACAATTGAGACGATTGACACTGTCTTGTTATGACATTATTCGGGACCCATTTTTTGTCAATCTGGCCATCAATTTGCCAAATCTAAGAGATTTATGCATAAGCTATGTTGAGTTGACCGATCAGTCGCTAGAATCGCTATCCAAATTGCAACAATTGGCCACATTTACGGTCCATAGATTAGAAAATGGGAACTATAGCGAGTCCAGGCTTATGTATCTCGAGATGAGACCCAAGTTTAGGCAATTTACTGTTACTCATCGCTGCATATATTCACAGTTTGATTAATATCTTCAAAAAAAAAATTTTTATATTCATTATCATATTATTTTTTTATTGCAATTTATGCAGCAATTAATTTAAACAAAATTTTTATTTTATTTTTAGCTATTTATAATTATAAATTTTTATATGTAATTTTCAACAAACATATATTCAATATTGTTAACGGATTTGTTAGCTTTGACTACAAGTTTATGTTATTTTTGTATAATATTTTGTAGTCAAAAGTTTAAATTATAACATTGTATTGATATATAATAATATATTATTTTAGGTATTTTCCAATAGTTTTTGAATATAATTTAATGATTAATGTTTTATATAAGTAATTTTCCCAATACTTTTGAATAGTTTTTTTAAAGATTTTAGAGATACTTTTGTGTATTTTATTGGTTAGTCACTGTTTTTCAGTCCATGTTTTAGGGGTTACTGTTAATCCAACTTTTAATCGGACGGCATATTATTTCATTGTTTTGTTAATGTTTATCATTTTAGTCACTTAGTTATGTTAAGTAACGGCAGGCCTAAAGTAGAGCCGAGCCGATGATAATCTTGTGTTTCAATTAATAAATAATAAATAGTTTTGTTGTTTGATTTGCTGTGTTGTGTCGCTTATTGCCTAATGTTTAGATGCCGACGGTTTGGATACCGATCGGCCAAACATCTGAGTTCCCCTAACAAGCTGTTCAAACCTCTCACTCTCTTTCTCTAATAACCCACTGGGGTTTCGGGAGGTTTTTTTCTAAACCGCTTTAAATGCAATTATTTATTTGAAAATTTGGTTTCCTGTTTATAAAACTATATAATTAAAATATTTTTTAAAAATTATCATCATTATTAATATTAAACTACCGGTGCTTTTGTTTTTTTAATACCGACACATAGTTTGTATAACAACTTTTTTTTTAAATTATGAATTTTTTTCTTTAAAAAAATGCTAATAATTTTCATTGTTGTCAATAACCTGACAAATAAAAGACATCGTTGTGAGCGAAAAGGTTCGTATCGTACATCCAGAAGCTAAAAGGCTATTCTGTATTAATACTGTATATCATAAAAGGTTTATCAAGCACTGATAGGTAGATAATGAGACCCTACTTCAAACGTTATAGACCGTCCAAAAGAAGTAGTACATCGAGACAAACCCGACGGCAACGCCTATCATCATCACACCAACAGAAGACACAATCAACATCTGGGAGTCAAACCAAAACAACTGATCCATACGTAGACTTGTTAAACCTATTTGGTTCGTGGAGTAAGGTTGGTTCGCAATATACACAACAGATACCACCGGGAAAGCCATTGCCCGATAATGAGCTAAAGGCGTGCACTGACAGAGGTATTACATTTATACAGGCACTCGGCTCCGGAGGTTTTGGTACCGTATGGAAGTGTAGTCTAAGTCAGCCACTGTCCGACCGAACCGGTAAGACCGACTATACACAGTATGAAATGGCTGTTAAGATACTATCGGTTGATCGCTTCAAACGCAATCGTACACCCTATCAGGCCGTCCAACATATGATGGAGGAGTACGATCTGCACAGTAAACTGAACCACGAAAACATTGTACGCTCAGAGGAGGCCTTCCATGTGATGGATCAGACAACACAGTTTCCATATGTCCGACACTTGCATTTCATGGAATTGTGTACCGATTCTCTCAGATCTATAATTAAACGGAAAACACTCAACGAATTTCATGCCAAACAATGGTTCAGACAGGTATCGATGGGACTCCAGTATCTGCACCATATGGGCATTGCGCACATGGATATCAAGACAGCTAACATCCTATTCATATACGATTCGAGCACTGGTACGACTACCTATAAGTTATCTGATTATGGTCTATCGGTAACCAGTAACCAAATTGACTATTTTGTAGGTACTCATGCGTTTGCTGCACCGGAACTTGCCAGAGCTAGTATGGGAGCACCGGTAGATACATTTCGGTGCGACATATACAGTCTTGGATTGACTATTTGCGAAACGCTGGCAGGCAAAAATCAGCACAGGTATGCCATGATCGCTATTAAAAAGGTAACAATTCCTAATCAGTTGGGCCAACTAACCAACAAAAATGCCAGTCCCCGGCTTACAATAAGCACCTATCCGTTTGTCCATATGATTAATTGGATGCTTGATGACAATCCCATCCATCGGCCTACAATCGATGAACTAATTAATTGTCAATGGTTTCAGACATAGTAAATGGTGAGCAGTGGATGGGTGGGTATTGTAGGAATGGTAGATATTATTATTATTCATATTTTATTTTCAGTAAATTTTCAGTAATTTTAATTTTTTGATTTATGTTATGATTTTTTTAGAAGTAATTTTTTGTTAGTTTTGATTAATTTGAGCAATAATTGTTTAACAATATTGTACTTGATCATTTATGATTATATTGATAGTACATATACTATATAGTGTATAGTGTAGTATGGTTGACCAGATAATGATCAAATAATTCAATTATATATTTTTTAAAACATTGAATAACAAATTTAATTACTTTGATAATCATCAATTATTTATGATAATTATTATAGACAACAAATACATGAGATTTATAATATATAGATAAAATCAAATAAATTTATTAATATATACAATATATAACTTTGTATTGTTGAATATAAACTTTCATTTCCTAACTCAACAATATAAAGTTATACATTAAATTTATAACATATTATTTAAACGTTAAAAACATATCTAATATTATTATTATTATTATTATTTGTAATATCAACTGTTGTCGACAACAAACTCTCGAAGAATGGCTATTCCAGCAAAAGACTCGTTCGAGCGTTTCGGTGACGATCTGACAGAAGTACTGTTAGATTATCTTCAGTTTGACGACAAATTCAGATACGAATGCACTTCAAGACAATGGCAACGATTGGTTTACAACAAAGTCAATACCGTCGAAGTTGTCGCACATGAAAAACAATTCAAACGAATAAACGACAAGTCATTTGATTTATCAAAATGGCAGACAATCTTCAAAAAGTGTCGAAATGTCACAAAAGTATTGCTTGAAATTGATTATATCATCGACAGAGGAGCTGATGGTGAAGAGATCACACAAGAGGTTGTACTTACAGACAGTGATGCAGACAAGTCGTCAGAGAATGAAGACGTGATCTATGATGACATGTCTGATGACAACAAAAAAGTTCTCAAAAAACAATTAATTAAAGATATTAGAGACAAGTTTTACGATCAGATTATTGAATTAGTCAACAAAATGAAAGATCAAATTGTGAACAATACAGACAATAGTCAAATGATTATCAACGATGTAGTCGAACAACTCATCCATACTCTTGTCATTGATCTGATTGATGATAAATTCGGTGATAATGAAGTATCCAATGATAGTGTCATTACCGACAACAGTGATGGCGACTATGATTACGACGAATCATTCGATAGCTATGAAACTCAACCCGAAGTTCGCGATCGTGTCGTCCAAATCTACGAACAACTCACTGATTTGGTGGTCAAAGAGTGTCTATATTTGACACGTTTTACATCGTCTGCTCCAAGAATTAGTAACGATGTGGTGATCGCATTGATCGGCAGATTTGGTCGACAATTAAAGACACTTCAATTTCCCCGTCTTATTGAACAATGTCTGCAAATAACACTAAGTTTATCATTAATGCCGAACTTGAGAGTCGTGGACGAAACCATTGCCATCGATGGTCTAATCAGTAGTATTGACGACAACGAAACAAATCTAATTCCTAAACGACTCAAAATTTTCGACTATTATTGTTTTGACAATAATGTCGACAAGTTTGCAAAGTTTGCCGAAATTTGCTGCAAAAAACAAATACCGTTAATAAACATGTGTTTAGAGATTGAATACAAACTTATCGATAAAGTCATCAGTTGTTTGAAATGTTTTGCATCGCTAACAGACATCAATATCTGTGTCACGAAACGACACATCAATAAACAACAGTTTCAGCAATTGGTGGTCAACTGTCCAAAACTCAAACGATTTGCTTACAAATTTTTGGCCGACTATCCGATGGTTGTAAACTATAAGACAGTTGTCTCGGATATCAATGAAGTGTTTGGCGAGACTCAAGTGTCGGCACTGTCTCTGACTTTTATAGCCAACGACATAAACTTTGTGATGACTAGCGATATGTTGAACCGATGCCGACAATTGACACGATTGGCAATCTATTGTCATACCATCATTCGGGAGCCATTTTTTGTCAATCTGGCCGTCAATTTGCCGAAACTCAGTGATTTGATTTTAGGCTATGTTGAGCTGACCGACCAGTCGCTAGAATCGCTATCGAAATTGAAACAATTGGTCACATTTACGGTCAATCAATTAGGAAATTGTGAATACAATGAGTTAGACCTTATGTATCTCAAGATGAGACCAAAGTTCAGGCAATTTACTGTCACTCATCGTTGCATATATTCACAGATAGATTAGTGTTTTCAACCAACAAAAAAAATGTTTTGATTTTCATATTCAGTATTATATTATTAGGTTTTGATTGCTATTTATTTAGAAATTAGTTTTTAAAAAATTTGTATTTCTTGCTATTTATATAATATATAAAATTATTTATATGTTGGATAATTTGTTTTTTAACAAAAAAGACAAACATTCAATAAACAAATGTATTTATTTGTAAAATTTCTTATAAATATATATATATATATATCACAATTGCAATGTTATATTATTATTAAACTATTGGTACAGTAGTTAATAATTTTGCAATTTTTATTAATCAATAATTGCAATAAAGCAAAAAAATTGTAACTAATGTAGTAAAATGTTATAATGTTATAAAAAACTTTTTATGCTTTGGAAATACTTTTTATACAAACTAACAAAAAAACATAATATATTTTTGATTATATAATACTATATATTAGTCTATTAATATATTATTTTAGTACTTAAATATTTATTGTTTTTTTTATTAATGTTTTTTCAATATTTTATTTATTCAATTCAATATACATAGCAACTCTCAATGTTTTGGTCAAAATTTATGCGATATTAAATTTATTAAGCAAAAGTTATTCATAATCAATAAATACTGGTACTTTATATACAATATAAATTACATATTTATTTTCTAATAAATTTAGTATTCAAATTTTGTTAATAGAAAAATTTTAGTAATTTTTACAAATAAATAGTATCACAAATATATATATATACAGTATATACAAACAAATAAACTCAAGTAAAGTGCATAACAATGTATAATTTTAAACAATTTCTAACCAGAGATAATATTATCAAATTTACATCATTTATCATATGTTTATCTCTATGTTTATATCAAGTCTTAGTTATTTGTGAACTATATTTTGCATATCCTGTTATAACAAGTGTTATGCCGGCAAATGTATTGGAGATATCATTGCCGGCAATTACCGTATGTATTGATAAACAATATCTCATAAAAGATATGAAATTTAAACAATTATTTAATAATAATAATAATAACATTAGTAATCAAAGTTTAGCAAATAGTTTAAAATTGTTTAATGAACTAACAATTAACCAACAAATTGAATTAATTTATTCAATTGAGGAAATTTTCGGCAACACTTGTAAAGTATTGCGACCCAAACCGTTAGATACGTTAACCCGCGAACCGTATGTAAACTGCACACAAATATCGCCAATACGTGTATCGATAGACTACTATTACATGTGCTATACGTTTATGGGACAAACTATCGGTACCGACGATAGAAACTTTATGGCCAGCAATGAGGTCGTCTATCGGGACTATTTGATTCAAACAATGAAAGTGACCATCAGATCGGACATACCATATGTAACATATGCTGTCCACTCCCGTTACGATCCAATGATACAATATTATAAATATGTATTTTTGGCGCTAAATAATAATAATAAATTCAATTATATTAAATATATTAAGTCTATATTTAGATCCCAGGAGTTACCCTACGAAACTGATTGTTACAATTACATTGACCATGGTCAATATTCACAATACGATTGTGTCGGTCACTGTAGGATTAGGGAACTAAAACGTAAGTTCAAAAAGTGGCCAGGGATATTTTTGTTTCATTTAGATGGCGGTAATAATAATAGTAATTATAAGGATCGCAATCAACTAATTGGCGAAACATTTATGGATTTGGCTCCAGATTTATCAGTTGATGATCAAATTGGTCGCACCTGTCGAGCTAACTGTCCCACAAAACCCGACTGTTTTGTCGAATATTTTGAGTATAAAAATTATATCCAGTATTACTATTGGAAATCGTTTGACTTACAAATTAGTTTACGCCCGAAACCGGATATAATTTATTTTCAATCACCTAAACTAATATTTGTTGAGTTCATGTCATACGTGGGCTCATTGATTGGTTTGTGGTTTGGTTTCTCTATCTTTATGTTTACCGATTTTATTAACCAATCGGTCCGATACGTCCATAATCTATGGTTAAGTTTTCCAATTAATGTAACGGTATTTCAAAAAGTCAATAAAGTTAGACATATAGTTGTTAGTAACAAAGCTAACAACAAAATTATTGATTATAATATTTAATATTATATTCAAATTAATTTAGACAAGTGCTTTGAATAATATTTTATTACCGGTAATATAAAAATAATGTTTGCATTATTTATTTTTATTTATTTTTATTTGGATTTAATAAATATTTATTTTATTTAATATACATAGCAACTTCAATGTTTTTATCAAAATTTAAAAAATATTGATTAATCAATAGTTATTTATAATCAATAATATTTAAATATAAAATTTATGTATTTTTAATAACCAAATTGCTTAAATTGTAAAAGTAATATTACAAAAAAATTAATAAATATAATTTATTGTACACTACAAACATGTATCAATTAAAACAATTTATAACTAGAAATAATATTTTATAAATTTATATCGTTTATCACATGTTTTTCTCTGTGTTTATATCAAATCTTTAAGATTTGTGAACTATATTTTGCATATCCTGTCATAACAAGTGTCATAACGGCAAACGTGTCCGAGATATCATTGCCGGCACTTACCGTATGTATTGGTAAACAATTTCTTATAAAAGATAAAAAGTTTAAGCAATTATTTAATAATAATAATCAAAACTTAACAATCAGTTTGAAATTGTTTAATCAATTATCAATTACTCAACAAATTGAATCCATGTATTCAATTGATTATGTTTTCGGCAACAGTTGTCATGTATTGCGAACCAAATCGTTAGATACGTTAACTCGCGAACCGTACGTAAACTGCAGGCAAATATCGCCAATACGTTTATCGATAGACTACTATCACATGTGCTATACGTTTATCGGCCAAACTATCGGTACCGACGATGAAAACTTTATGGCCATCAATGAGGTCGTCTATCGGGACTATTTGTCATTTTTAATAYATATAATTATCCGATCGGACATTTCGTATGTAAAATATGCGTTACACTCGCGCTACGATCCAGTCATACAATATTATAAATATATATTTTTGGTTTTACATAATAATCATGTATTTAAATTTGTTAAATACATTAAATATACGCTTAGATCACAAAAGTTGCCCTACGAAACTGATTGTTACGATTATTACTATGACCATGGTCAATATTCACAGTACGATTGTGTTGGTCACTGTAGGATTGGGGAACTAAAACGGAGGTTCCGTAAGTGGCCAGGGATCAAATTAATATCATTTAGATGGCGGTAATAATAATAATAGTAATTATAATTATAATGATCGTAATCTATCAATTGGCGAAACATTTATTGATCTTAATCAAATCTATCAGTTGATGATCAAATTGGTCGCATCTGTCGAGCTAACTGTCCCACAAAACCCGGTTGTTTTGTCGAATATATTGATTATAAACACTATGAACATACCTATACTATGTCATCGTTTGATTTAGTAATTAGTTTACGACCGAAACCGGATCTCATTTATTTTCAGTCACCAAAACTGATATTTGTTGAGTTTATGTCATACTTGGGTTCACTCATAGGTTTATGGTTTGGTTTTTCTATTATTATGTTAACTGATTTTATTAACCGATCCGTGCGATACGTCTATAATTTATGGTATAATTTGGTGATTAATTTTGTTTTTATTAATAATATTAATAATGTTAAACAAATAGTTGTAACAAATAATAAGCTAACTAAAATATCTATATAACTATATTACTAAAATATTAATATAAATTAAATGTTTTAAAAWTTATTATTCAATAAAATTTATTGTTTATTGATTTTTGTTTAATTTTGAAAGTATTTCCTCCAAAAAAAATAGTAATTATATTTTAATGTCATATTATTATATAATTACGTTTATCTATCTATTATTAAAAATCCAATATTAAAATTTATTGAAAATTATTTTTTAAAAATGTTAATAAAAATGTAATTCAGTAGTCTATTAAACATTAACATAACAAACATATAGATGGCATATATAACTCTATAATGTTAATATTTTTATCGACAAATTTAATCATAAGTTTATAAATTATATATATTTTTTAATAATTATAATTTAGTTATATATTTAATTATTTTATATTATATAAAAATGTTAGCTAAAAATTTACTACACAATAATAACAATATCATATTTAGGTATATTTTAAAWCTTATTTATTATGATTTATAGTATTTAGTTTTAAATTTTAAAAAATTATTACATTTTTAAGTTAATACCATTTATTTTAATCTTTTATTTGAACAATGTTTTCATAATTAACGAGTTTATTTTAATTATTAATTATTATATTAATAATTAATTTTATATTAAGTGACAGTAAAACAGTAGCCAATTGTTAGTCATTAAACAAGTGTTTTGCCTGAAAGATATAGCAATAAAGAAAAATAAATATTTATAACAAAATTAATGTATTTTTAATTATAAAAGTCGTAAAATTTTTAAATAATTTATACATTTAATTAGCTAATATATTTGACATGATTATAAATATAATTTTTTTTAAACATTTATATAAACATTAGAGAAAAAGTAAAAATAAAAATAAAATAATTTAAATATATAATCTCTAAATTTTACAATATTTAAAATTGGAAAGTTTCATTAACATTAATATTATTTATAGATAATTTTTTTAAAAGTTTAATATTATATAATTATAATAATTACATGTATTATGTATTTAAAAATAATTTTATAGTTATTAACTGATTATTAGATTTGTATTTTACATTTTTAATACAAAATTATAAAATAAAATATTTTCTTTATAATGATTACTGAATAAAATAAAACATATGATTAAATAAAATTATTAAATAACATAAATAATTAAAATAAGCTTTTCAATGAAAATATATAACAAATAATAAATTCACATAGCCATAATAATAATAATAATAATAAATAATAATAATTATATTTTAATAAAAATAAAATAAAATATTTTTATATATTAATAGTATATATAAAGATTTTGAAATTTCCCAATTAAAATATATGTCCAAAATTTGATGAGCCTTAAAGATTTAATATATCTCTCATTAAATATATAAGTATTATTATTATAAAGAAAATATGACATTACGGAAATTATTTAGATAAAAAATAAATAAAATCTATTTACAAATTGATGTGATTTCTCTGAAATTAATTGAAAATTATTTCCTCAAAAAATCATTCATTATATTATTATAACCCAATATTATTTCTATAATACAATATTATTTAAATAAAATTAAAACTAACATAATTATTATATATTATAGGAAATAATTGAAACAAAAATAAAAAAAATATCAAATCATTGGCAATTCTGTTAGTATAGAAAAAAATTACACATAAGATATGGTTAGCGTATTTGAGACGCTATTATAGTCATCGCTTTTATTGTTAATATAGTTATCATTATTAAAACGATTGTAATCACTACGTTGTCTATCAATGCAAGCAATGTTACCGTTAACTAGGGTCGACCTCTTGTTAATTTTCATATTATTATTATTATTGTTAGGGTTGGCCATCGACTGCAGCGAATGCATACTCAGACCGTTTGTTTGTCTTGTTTTAGTAAATTTATGACAAAATCTTGTTAACAATAGCTTCATATCGTACTGTGATTTTTTTGAGAGAAAGAGAGAGAGAGAGAAAAAAAAAGAAAGAGAGAGTAAGTGAGAATAAAACCAACAAAATTATAAATAATAAATTATTATCCAGATAAGTTAATAAATAAATAATAAAATTTATTTACCCTGAAATTTTCGCTCATAAATGAATAAATTATGGGATTCATAAAACTGTTGAATTATTATTATTATTATTATTAATCGGAGATTTTCAGTAAAGAAAAAACAAATAAAAAATAAAAATGAGATTAAGTAAAAAATATATCATTATTATTAATATTGAAATTGTTTTATATTATTAATAAATTTTATTTTATTTTTATTGTTAGATTTACGATACAATATGAGAGGACAAAATTAAATCTCTAAAAAAAGATTATGTAAATCATTATTAAGCATATTGTGAACGCATTAATATCTAATAATAATAGTAATAATGACATTAAAGAATTATATATAATATATTAATATTAAGCATTGCTAAGCAAATGTGAAAAAATAAAATAAATAAACATTAAATAGATTAGATTAATGTACTATTAATATTTAGATTAGTAAAATACATATTATTTAATATTAATATGTTAGCTTGTAAGTGTGTGTGTGTGTGTGTGTGTGTGTGGTGGATGGGTGGGTGTATGTGTGTTTGGGACACCTACCTGTGCGCCATTGATATCCAGTGACAAAAGAAATACATGCCGACAAATGTATAGTACTGTAGTCTAGTTTCGTATTGTAATATCCAGGTCGGGTAGAACCAGACTAACAGTCCAAATATCTGTATGGGAAGCCAGCATATGATGAACAGTGATACTACTGTTGATAACATTTTGATGACCTATCAATTATATACAAATTATTCATTATTTAAAATATACATTAATAATATAAACTGTTGCTTTCAAGTTTAATAAAATGCATTTTTTATATATAGCATATCATATATCATATAAGTAAATATGATTGTATAAATGTTTTTTTTTAAATATATTTTATAAATTATTCAATAGCCTAATGGTTAGTTAAATGTATAGACAGAATATATTGTATAGTTAAATATTCATTTTATAAAAATGTTTCATAATTGAATTTAATATTACATGAATGAATTTTGATAAATAATTTAAATATAAAATCTTATTTTTATTATATGTATATTTTTATTGTTTTTGTTTAAGTAGATTTTAAATGCATTTCAATATAGAATAAATGTTTTTATTTTGTACAATACTCTATAGGTATAATCTATTTGAACATATTTTATTTATTGAAACTACTTTCAGACTATAAAATAATTTATTTTATAAAAAAATATGAATTAAATTATACTAATTTTTTTATCTAAATATTAAATATATAGTTAAATTATAGACTTTTATTGTAAGTCTTATTTTTGTAAAAATCTATTATTTTCTAAAGTAACTATATTAGCAAAATAATTATAAAAATAATTATTAAATAATTCTAAGTAACATTTAAACATTTTAATTGTATTTTTTAATTTATTTTTTAATGTAATATTAAATAATGTATATATATATATACTATTTTATATTATTATAATAAATAGTACCAAAACTTAAATATTAAATTTTGCAATATTTAATTTATGTTTTTTTATTAAACTAATAAAATTTTGTTTGATTATTGCGTAAATATTTTCATATAAATTGCTAAAAATGTGAAAATATAAATATTTTATGAATATATGTTTACTTTTTATATTAAGCGAATATTAAATAATAATTTTATTTCTAAAAATTTTCTTAAATATTTAAATTGAATAAATTAGCAAAAAAAATAAGATAAATCTTAATAATATTTTAAAATAGTTATATTTAAAAATAAATAAGAGCATTTACTACTACTTTATAAAATAGCAAATAAATTTATTAGAAAAAATAAATTATGATATAATTTTATTGATTTTGTTTGTTTTTTTGCAAGATGCTTATTCAATAGTTAATTAAGCAATTTTAAACATAAATAAATATATTTTTTAAAAGATTAACATTTATAATTACATCCTGCATGTTTTTTTAATTACTTTTTTATAACTTAAAAAACTAATTAGTAATTGATTTGTAAAATTTAATCAATTATATATATATATATATATATATATATATATATATGTATGAAATATATCTGACTCGACATTGTTTATGGCCGATAACTTATTATATAATCAGAAATTGACAATTTTTTTCATTATATTTTAATGTTTTTTAGTTTCAACACAGATCTAAACTTTTCCAACAAAGAGTATATATTTTTAAAAACAATGATTTATTAATATAAATATAWATATATATTTGTATTACCGGTATTGTCAGGAAAGAAACAAATATCATTTGTTATACAAAAAATATTAATAAATTTAAGCAATCATTGCATAAGAWATTGTTATATCGATTTTATTATTGATATAAATTTATATATATATATATATTAGATTTATATACTGTCTCTCAAATAAATACAGTATTATATAATCCATAAATTTCATAAATATAAGTGCTTTAGTTGAGTGATAACTTATAAATCATTGGTTGTCCGTAACTTATATAATATTATAGCAAAATTATTTTTTTGCTGAGTTTTACTTAATAAAAAAAGACATATCTTTTTATTGATGATATCAACACATATTGATGATTACTTTATGTATATTAATAACAAAATTTATATTACCGGTAATCAAATCAAATAAAAAATCTTTATGAATATTAACTGTAGTCTAGACCAGTCATTAAAATTATGTGTTATCAATGATAAATTTATTATTTAAAAGTTACATGTTTATTATTTGTAAATTTTATTTTTATAATTATACAAATATAACATTAAAATATGAATTATTCAAATTTCTTTACATAAATTATAATAAATATATATATATTTGTTTTATTTGTCTTTTTTAATAACTGGTCTAGACTTTTAACTATTATAGAAATATAAATATTTACCAAAATAAATTATATAACTTAATTTTCAATATTAATAAACAATTTAATGAATAAACATGTTATTATGTATATTTATGTGAAAAAATTACATTAAAATACATATAATATTAATATAAATACTGTACTAATTATGTAAGTACTGTAAATTTGTAAACAGTAAATTTTAAAATTAAAAATCAATATAAATTTAGTTTAATATAAAAAATATTTAAATATTTATTAATTCATAGCTAGAAATTAATGTTAAAAATGTTTTCACAATATTTAAAACATAAAATCATTTGAAACATATTTTCATTGGATAAAAAAACTCATTTTCTGTATTATTTTGGTGTTAGGGATGCAGGTTATTATCTAGGTCAATTTAGAAATGTCAAAAAATATATAACACCATCTATTATAATTAAAGTATGATAACAAATAAATGGCATTTATTTAGCATGCTAAAAATGTTACTTTTATCATTAAAAAAAATAATTTTATTTATTTATTAAATGACTTGTATAATAATAATAATAATAGTTATTATACTTCAAAAATATAATTAGATATATATATATAAGTTTTAATATCATTTTAAAATTACCTTGATAAATGTGTAGTATAACGATATAAATCTCGTTATTAAACTTTTGAATGTATTATATTGTGTAACTATTATTATTTCAAATTAAGATAATTTAATTAAACTTAAGATAAATTAGTTAAACTATATTGAATTACTTGATATTTATGAGATAATAAATTAGATTTTTAAAAATGAATGAAATGCGTAGGTTTTGATAATTTTAAATTTATGTTAATTTTTAATGTTTTTAAAAAAATTAAAACATAATAAAAAATAATATATTTTGCTATCTTTAATTAAGTTAATCTAAAGTATATTAAATATTTTCAAAATTATTTTAATGAAATTTATTTTATTAATTTGTATTTTTCAGAACTAATAATAAAATTTAATATTATATTTACATAATATTATTATATAATTATCAAAATAACATTTAATTATATCTATAATGCGATTAATATTATTTTTAATGTACAGTAAAATATATTACTTAAATTACAACTTGTGTGATATAAAACTTAATTATTTAAATATAATTAATTAAAAAATTATTATATAATATGTATATAATGAGACTTTATAWTATATGACAGATAAATATTAMTGAGTCTAATATTATTAAAGTATATTATATTGAATATAATATAATCTAAATATTATGTTATATTGAAAACTTAGATACACTAAATATTTATTTATTTATACAAAATAAATTCATAACCTTATTAAAATATTCAAAATCTAAAATATTTAATAAATATTAAATAATTTAAATATAATAAATAGTAATTAATAAATAATTGTCTAACTATAATACACTTACCAAATAAATATAGCTTTGATATAATAATCTTTATATCATTACTAATATTTTGTGGTAAATTGTTAAATAAATTGATATTATAATCAAAAAAGTTTTTTATCAAACTTTTTTTTATAAACTATTAWCAGTTTTTCTACATTTTATCCATATCTAGTTGTATTTTAGTACTTTAGTTGTAATAATAATTTATTTTATAAATACAACAAAAGTTATTGATTGATTTATTATACATTATATAAAAATAGCATAAAAAATTAATTATAAAAAACATCACTATATCACAATATATATATAGATATCTAAATTTTGATWTATTCAATAGTYTATTTTTTGTGATTATAATTATCGATAAGTCATTAAAATCAAGTTAATCAATATTTTTTATAACAGAAAAAGAGATTAGTAAATTTTTTATGTTTTTAAAAAAATTAAATAGTTTTGTATAATACTGTATAGAAAAGTATGATCAATAAAAAAAACACTTTTAATATAACTTTAGTATACTTTATTATATTTTAAGCAAAAAGATTTCAATAAAATAAAATAATATTGTTATTACTTAATCATAAACTAGCTTATTATAAAAACATATTAATTTTTTTAGTGTTATTTTCAAAATTACTATAAAATAATATATTTTTCTAAAATTAAATCATAAAATCTAAATCTTTATTATAGTAATGTGTAGAATAAAATATAAGTTTATATAAACAATATATACTCTATAATGTTTTTAGTCTAATTATATAATATAATTTATATTAATACTTTACTAGAATAAAATATTAATATTTATTATACAGTATTGTAATAAATAGATTATACAGTAATACATTAATAGAAACAATATATAAGACATATGTATTGTATATTTTAGTAATTTATATTTATAAAAAACTTAGTATTATATAATAAAAATGAAATATTAATTAAAGTAAAGTAATTTGGAATATTTTTTTAATTTATTAATTTAAAAAAATAGTAAATTATATAATAATATTTATTATATATATATATTGTATATTTTATATAAATCCTCTACATAATGCATATATAGTACTTAGTGTTAAATAATATTTAGTAATAATTTTTTTTGTTGAAAAAAATATTAAATAGTATTACCTTGATCCTTTTTGATGCAAACTGTTGTTGAATAGTCTCATTGCCGGGCATATGGTGTCGGATTAGTGCACAACCCATCAATGTATAGACAAAACTGAGGACAATCATCGGCAGTATAAATGTCAAGCAAAACACAATAATCGTATAGATTTTTCCAGAATTAGATCCCTGAGCCCATGTTTCGCGACAATCGTATAGCTCCCGATCGCCGTATGTAAACGGTTTTGATTCACTAATAAACAGTTGTGTACAGCCTATTGATATGCCGGTCAGCCATATACAGCATATAACTAGTGTCCGATGAGATTTGAACCACGAAACCGATGCACGCAATGGATGAACAATTGCAAAATATCTGAAAATTGTTTAATATTTTTTTCAATTATATTAATGTTTGTGAAATTTAATATATATATATATATATATATATATATATATATATATATATATATATATATATATTATAAAAGTATATATATATATGTAACAGTAGATTATTACATAGAAAATTATTTGTGTTTATGAAAATACATGCAAAATAAAAAAATGTCTCAAATGAACAGGTATGCTATAATTTAGTACACAGTATATTGTGTATAGTTTATTAAATATTGAGTCAAAAAAAATAATAATTTATACATAAATGCAATATTTTATACAATATTATAAATATACATATATTAAAAAAAAATTGTTTTGTTTTCGGAGTACTTTTGATGTTTTTTTTAAATATATTATTCTAGTTATAATCAATTGGGAATAGTTTTTTATTATTAAAAAATAATAATAATAATAATAATAGTTATATTACTATAATTTATTATTCAGATGTCTCTCAAGTAATACTGTGGAGATATATGGAAATATTTTTTTGTTTTGTTTCACAACAACAACAAAATACTGTATAAGTAAAACATTATAAGGGCTTAAAGTATTTTTTAAAAAAATATGTTAAATATTTTTTATCTAATACTGTAGTTTTTTTTGTATAATTAATTAATACGAATGAATGATTAATTGATACCCATATATAAATTTATATAATTAATATAGTCATATAAGTATATTATTTATAATATATAGGAGATTATAATTTAAGATAAATAAATAAATTTAATCAGGTAAAATTTTTTTATCTTTTAACACTTGTCAATTAAATATTTATTTTGTTTTTTTTGTTGTTGTTGTAAAAACAGTAAAATTTAGTAAAAGTGAAAACTAATATTTAAATCAAATATATCAAAGATTAATAAATAATTAATGATCAACATCAATATAAAATTATACTAAAATATTGATATATAAATTTCTATATATAAAAAATTTCACTAATATTTATATACTGTATCAATAATATACAGAAAGTAACAACTATTTTAATACTAAAGTTTTAGTTTTTATTACTATTTTTGTTGTTGTTGTCCACAGGATATTAATATTTTATTTACATTTGGATTTATCTTATATACTATTATTTTCTATTAAAAATATTATATTGTATAATATATAAAATAATAATAATAAGATAATATTTTATCTTTATTAAAGTTTCATATAATAAAAAAAACAAATTCTGTTATTTATTAATATTTAATTATGTTTTTTTTAAAAAAATATGTTATATAAAATTATTTTGCAGCAATTTTATTACTTAATTATATAATTTTAATTTATACTTCATGCATAAAATAATATTATTTATAATATTAATTATTATATAATAAAATATTTGCATAAATTGGTCAAATGGGTGTTATTAATAATTGATATTCAAGCTAATAATTTTCAGCCATCTATTGTGTTTTATAATCTATTAAAATTTAAAATTATATTTAATTTAATATAAATATTTCAATATATTAATATATATATTTCAATATATTAATATATATATTCAGTATATATTATAAATTCAAAATATAGTTATAAACAGATAGTTATTTAACAATGATTGTTATAAATAATGTTATTTTTTAGAGAAAACAATTAATTTTAAAAAATCTTTTATTAAACTGTAAAAATATAATATTTATTTAAAAAATAAATTTGTTTTGTTAAATAAGTTTTTTTGTTGTTGTTCCTGTATTTATGTAATTTTGGTTTATTATTATTATTAATAATAATATAAGTTATTAGTTTTAGTTTTCAACAATGCATACATATTTTCCCAAAGGTATATTATATACGGTATATAAATGTAAAGTAATATATAATATAAATTGCATATAAAACTTTTTTTTTGTTAATACACCCACAGAATATAAAATTAATAATAAAATTGTTATTTATTGACACAACATATTCAAACTAATACTAATGTACGGAAAAAAAATCTAATTGTAAATGTTATAGATATAAGCCAGGTATAGGTATAATTATTTTGATATACAATAGGAAAACATGTAAACTGTATAAACAGTAACATTTTTTTATTTATTTTGATATAATAATAATATTAATACTACTAACAAATGGTTAAAGTTATATGTTATCTATCAAATTCAGATATTATTATATATATTTTTTTGCTATGTATTATATATGTACAAAACAATACCATATAATACTAAATATATTATTAGATTAATATATATATATATTATATATATTTATACGATTTGTCTTAAACAATAAACTTGTTATGACATTATTTGGTAAATGTTGTTAATAATTGATTTTTTTGTCTACACAATATTAAATACAACATAAATGTTTGAAATGAAAATCACAATATATTTAAATAATTGAAATACCTGTCGACACCGATGGCCGCCAATGTATAGACAGAAACGACAAGTGCTGTCAATTGAACAAAGTTGACAATCGGACACATAATTGGCGGGAATATCCAGTGGCCAAACATGTATAGTGTATAAGTAAACGGTATGGAAAACAGCGACATTCCGATGTCGGCCACCGATAAGTTGATCAAAAATTTGCGGACATCTTTGGCACAGCGTTTGCCTTTCAATAGGACTACAATTGTAACGATATTACCTGAAAACGATAGTCCGGCAGTTGTCGAGTATAGACCTATGAGAAACATCTGTAACGGCCACTCGAGTGCGTCCAACGGCGGTAACGGTACCGTACCGTTACTGTCGACACCGTTATCGGTCACATTAGTTGGCGTATAGGATCGGGGATCCATAATATATAAATATATATTTAGATATTTTTTTTTTGAATAAATATTATTAATAATGTTATTACAGAATATTATTTTTAAAATTTCAAAATCACAAATAGTAATATTAATTGAATAAATAAAAAAATAATAATCTGGGTATTTTTGCTATTTTTTATAGTAACATAATACTTATATAAATATTTTTTTTACAAATAATAACTAAATCCATAGTTTTTTAAAAAGTTTTTTGTTTCCATTTTGTAAAAAAATAATTTACTTAAAATTATTTTTACTATAAATATAAATTGTTTTTACGGTATTTGTTTGTTTTGACATTTAAAACTTTATTTTATTATTATTTAATTCACCAATAAATAAAAAAAATAACATACACGAAAAAATTTAGTTTATTTTATTATTTTTCAAAAAAATAAGATAAATGTATTACAAATATATATAGATATAAATATATATATTTTTTAAAATCGTATTATTATTTTCCTCTATTTTTTCTCACTTAAATGTCTTTTATTTCTTAAATTTGTTTTTCACAAATATAATAATAAAAATACTGTTTTATTATATAATAACAGTTAAATCATAAAATAATACATTCAACAGATGTTATTATACAGATAAGCATTTTTTTTGAGTTACAAATTAATATTAAACAAAAACAAAATAAATTACTTTTTTATTATTATTTTTAATATTATATAAATTTCTGGTATAGTTAACAATTTAATATTTTTATTATTTAATTTGTGAGAAAACAGCACCGGCAATAACAATACTAAAACATAATAATATTTATCTTATATTTTTTTAAATGTTATAATAATAATAAAAAAATATTAAACATTAAAGTTGAATAAAATAGCCATTTATAATAAATTAAATAAATAAGTGTCTATTTGTGTGTGTGTGTGGTTAGACTGTTAATAAACAAACAACAAAAATATTTTCACACAAATTTTGGTTATAAAGTAATAACTTTTATTTAATGATGATAAATAACAGTATTAAAAACATATAGAGTAGAAAATCATTTTTGACGATAAAAAATTTACATGTAATAAAAAAACACTATTAAAAGTTTGAATATTTAGTAAATAAAAAAAGTTTAATTATAATAACAAACATTTATTAAACACATGATATCAATTGCAAACTAAAACATAGAGTAAAGTTTGAGCAAAAAAAACAAATTGTTAGTTTTATTTGAGCGAAACTAAAACAACAACAAAACAAACAAAAAAGCTAAAACACAGTTGTGTTTGTTGATAGGTTAGGTTAGGTATTAGCTAACTGTTTGCTAAGCTATCCTACACTTCATTTCTCATTGCATGGTTTGGTATGTCACTACTGGTATCGACAGATTTAAAAACATCTACACTCACACACACACACACACACACACTCACTAACACACACACATCCACACATACATACAAACATACATACACACACAAACATACATACACACACAAACATACATACACACACACACATACATACATACATACACACATATGATGCGCGGATTAATAGACTCAGTTACACTTACATTTATATTATCTAACAGTATATAATAGTATCAATATATAAATATAATTAACATATAAATTATGTTATTTGCATGGAATTCATACTATGAATACATTTAGCTAATCAATAACTATCTCATGAGAAACAAGAAAAAATATGATTACATGAATATTCTTGCGAAATATTATATAAATATTAAGCTTATGTATAGTTAGAGAGAAAAAATAGGACAATCTTTCTGTAATTGGATTATAGTTTATATGTACTTTTGATTTGTTTTGTGACTTTCACATCACTTTCACTGTATTAAGTATATACTGTATTATATATAGAGTAACACATTATTTAACAATCTTTTAACAATCTTATTAAACAATCTTTTAATATCCAATGGTTAGCATTAAAATTATTACAGTTAAAATGTTAACAAATTATAAGTAGTTTTTTTAGTGTATATTTTGTAATATTTGACTTATTTTTATAAAAATTAGATTTTGATTTTAACAACAACAGCAAAAGATTATATAAATTATTTAGTAAAGAAAACTTTTACTAAAGTAAAATCTAATTAATCAATTATTTAATTTTAGTTCAATACTCTGTAGGTAATAATAATAATAATAATACTATAACTACTACTACTACTACTACTACTACTACTACTACTAATAATAATAATAATAATAATAATAATAATAACTTTTAAAACTTTAATTACATTAACTTATTTTATATAAAACTATAACTAAGTCACTAATGAATATCTATTACTCAAAAATTATGTTTTTGACATTTTGATAAAATATTTATATCTTTTAAATTTATTTTTTTAATATAAAATTTTATCGTCTATTAATGTTTATTTTATTTTATTTTTTTTCTGAAATTATGTCATTTCAAATATATATATATATATAGGCAAACAAAATGTCAATAAAGTACTAATATTTTTTTATTGCCAATAAGTAATAATATTAAATAAAAACTTTATTAATAATAAAGTATTATATAATTTATACGATATATCTACTCTATATATAAATATTTGTTAATCATTTGAGTGACAGCCAGTGTAGTAGTAATAGTAGTTTTTATTGTTGTAATACAGTCTCATTGCATTCATTTTGACAATTTATTCAATAATATCGACGAAAGAGATCATTGAATTAGACGATGAGATAAACAATTGGACGAATGTATTATTGAAATCGACGTATATTTTAAACAAATATTTATTATCAATGTTTTACACTTTATTTTAATTATATTTTTTCTTATTACTGGTAATATTACTCAATATTAGTATATTATCTACTATTAGTAAAATATTCATTTTAATAGTTAAATCAAATAAACAGATAATTTCGATATACAGTATATGTCGATTTCAATAATACATTCATCGAATTATTTATCTGACCGTCCAATTCAATGATCTCTGACGTCGATATTATAGAATCAATTGTCGAAATCAATACTATTAGACTGTAATAAAAAAAATATTTTAATAATAATAATAATAATAATAATAATAAATTTAGATAATAATACTAAAATATATTATGTAAACTAATAGCATATAAATTATATTCAACAAATAAAGATCAATTTATCAATATTAGTATACTATAAATACAGTATATAGTATTATATTGCTTAAAATTTGGTAATTTTTATATAAAACAACAAAAATAGTGTACAAAAAACATGTTTTATTTTAGTTTTATTTTGAAAATATTATAGAAATCAAATAAACAAATACTGTATTATTAAAAGCAATAAAACTAAGAAATCAGACTAATATTATAGATATATTTATCAATAAACGACTATAAAATACTATACGATGTTAACATTAATAAATAAAATTTGAATTTAAGTTCAATAAAAACAAAATCAACAAAAGATTTTGATTTTCCACGAATGTCTCCTAAAATTTCCATAACATTTAGTTTTAAAATTTAATTTATTATTATTTTGATTTGTTTAGATAGCTAAATAAATAAAATAAAATAAAACATATAGTCGAGACAATTAAATAGAAATTGCTTGAAAATGCTTGAAGTTAAAATAAAATAGCAATTATAATATATATATATAATTTATTTCTTTATATAATAAAAATTGAATTTTAATCTAAATTATAATTAATAACATTAATACAGTATATTGTAAATTATCATATAATATAATGTTTATTATACATTTATTATTATTATTAGTACTTATCTAATTATTCAATATTCTAAATATTGAAATAAAATCAATTTTGTTTTTTAATTAACAAATTTTTGTATTATACTATATTTATATAATGTAATAATAATAATAATAATAAAAACCTGTTGACAACACATAATTTAAATATAACACAACTCTTTATTATTTTCAACAATTTATTATTAAAATTATTTTTGAAGTGCAAAATAAAATAAATCAATTTGATTAAAATTCAGTAGAATTTTAATTTGAAAAATTTTATATTTATTTTATCAATTGTATTTTTATAAATTTTATTATTATTAACGATCTTATACTATTAGAGATGAGCAAATAGAAATTTCCAATAAATTTTTACTACTAATATTTCTATAGTAATTTTACAAATAATATATTAGCAAATTATTAGATACCCAACTTTATAAATAGTGTAGTATTGCTATAGTAATATTAATACATAATATAAACTGCACTGCTGTACAAATAGGATTGATTGTTAAATATAAAATTAATATAATTCAATTATTTTTAATTGTTTGTGATGATTAAAATTAAAAATTTATATACAAAATAAAAATAAAATTGATTAATTTTGTTACTTTGGATAGTAATTAATTTATTTTATACTATAATATTCAATGTATGTAATAATTACTGTATATACTGTAAATAATGTTACATGATAACATTTATAAAATAATAAAATCATCATGGGGATCGTATAGGCAAAATTTTTTATTTTGAAATTTTCTATACATTTTTAGCTTATTTTTGAAATTTTAGTCTATTTTTACCAAATCTAAACAGTATTCATAATATGAATTTCATATATTAATTAATATGATAGTTGAAAATTTTTAGCACAATTTATTACTTTTTGCACGTATATCAGTACTTTAATATGTAAATGTGATCTCAATTTAGTTTTATAAAGTGTTATAAAAATGATTTTGCTTATTGATTTATTTTAATAATAATATTTTTATTATATAATAATAATAATAATAATAATACCAACATATCTGAAGATTTAGTTCAAATATGTAGAAAACGCATTAATTATTAATTATTTATTTTATAATAAATTCTTTAAAAATCTATTATCAAATAAAGATTATTTTTATTAAATCATAATTAAACATATAAACAAAATACTATTACAATTATTAACCAAATAAATAGATAATTAAAGTTTATATGATAATAAATAAAAATAAAAAGTTACTTGAAAAAGATTAAATGTTTAATTACGC